TGACCGCGTTATCGCGGAAAACAGGGACAAACTGTGGTATGCGGTTTAGGGCCTACGAGCTGGCCATAACTGCTTTGCAGTAGCGACGACTTGTCATTGTTGTGCCTTCGGAGGCCAACTTCCTGAAATTGAACGGCTATGGAAAAATATTGCTCATCTGTTATATTGTTATTAGTCTGAGAAACAGTTTTCTTACCAATTTTGATTCCATTTCGAGCATAAATCTCACCTGACTTCGGGAAATTGCTTTATTTATTGAATGAGCCTCAAATATAAGTGTGGGATTTATCAGGGCTCGGTATTTCTGGTCTGGGGAAACGCTCATACAATGCTGCTTTAGATGTTTCGATTTGTGGTCCAGCACAACCTCGTTGATTGTGTGGTGACGAGCGCTGGCGGAGTTGAAGAAGATCTGATCAAATGTCTCCTACCTTCTTACCTGGGCGATTTTCGTATGGACGGCAAAAGCTTACGGTTCGTTCAATAATGCGGTGGTTTCGAATCCTTTTTTGTTTGCTTCTAACAAGGGAATGGTTTGAACTTCCCATGGAACTTTGAATGGAGACCTAGGTACATCGATAGAGCCTCGAATGCTGATTACGAATATGCAGATTAAAAGTGCTACGGGGACCTCCCAGACGAGATCTGGGTGGTCAAAGTTTGCGAAAACTCAGTTTTGGCTCGTAAGCGCTGCTGATCGATGCGGCAGTGCCACCGTGGCCTAGTGGTAACGGTCTCGCTTCAAAGCCAAATGCTCGTGGGTTTGCATCCCGTTGGCGCGAAAGTTTTTGCTTTTATTTGCCTCCTATAAGAGCTTTTACTCTAATTTTCGAAATTCCTATAAGTTTACGGCCCAGCAGAGCAAGTAGATCAAGTGTATGACGTACTCGATAGAGTATGGGATTTGGTCACTATCTGCCCTCTTCTCATCTTATTACCCATCCGACCGTTCGCAGTTTTGCCTAGCATACAAGCGTTTTCTCGTCAAAGGATGTGATATTCGTGTTCAGGAGGTCAGAGTCTCCCATGAACGAGTTTTTCGCCAAAATTCTGAATAGTCGGATGGGTAATATTTTCAGAAAGGGTAGATAGTGACCAAATCCATACTACATCTAGTACGCCATATACTTGGTCTACTTGATCTACTCTGCTGAGCCATAAACTCGGAGAGTTTTTTGAAAATTAGAGTAAAAGCCCTCACAGGAGGCGAAGCAAAAATTTCAGGCAACGGGAGTGCAACCCCAAGCATTTTGCTTTCAAGCGAGACGCGTTACCTAGGCCACGGTTGCACTGACCGGCGCTATCGATCAAGCAGCGCTTTACGAGTCAAAACCTGACTTGTCTCGCAAACCTTTCGAGCACCCAGACCCACATCTCGTCTGGGAGGTCCCGTAGCACTTTTAATCTGCATATTCGTAATCAGCATTCGAGGCTCTATCGATGTACCTAGGTCTCCATTCAAAGTTCCATGGGAAGTTCAAACCATTCCCTTGTAAGTGTCATAGGAGAATAGTTTGCTCCTTCCCCTCACATCGTTAATCCTCCAGGTTCCCGCGTAAAGTTATTAATGGAGTATAGCCATGACCTCGTCTACGCGAAAGGGATAAAGAATACGACGAAAGTTCAGCAGTTTCTGGGATACGCCATGCGTTCTACATCCTTCCATAACTGTTGCGGCCTTCGAGTTCTATTGTTTTCTACAGAGAATTACGAGGGCTAGCTCATGGGAAAGTCAATGCTCGCTTCCTTTCGCACTTCAGACTATTAAACAACGAACTACGAAGAGGAAGAAGGTTGATTGGCTTGGCAGCGGCGATCCATGACTTCAGCCCGTTTGTATTGTGAACAGCGCCACCTGGAACAGTACCTCGTTAACCCCATCGAACCTTATTGGCCCTGTCGTTCAACTTTTCTCAGAATTCACTTTCGGATCGCTCTTCATATTTTTCATCACACGGCAAAAGAATAGTTTCCCTATTCGCACAAATGTATATAGGAAAATTACTAGTCCAAAAAACAATTATTGTATACAAGGAAGAAGGTGGTGTCGCTGCCAACGTGATCTCACCTAGCGTGTCATTAGCTATGCCTTTTCCGCCGGTCAATTAGCAGACATCAGGAGTATGGGTAGGTATAGTGTGTAATGACAAGTGGCGCGCTCACCACTCGCGCGCGGTCCTGGGTTCGAATCCTGGGTCGACTCCTGTCTAGGCCAACCAAGCCTTCTTTCCGGGGACGGTCAATTGGTACCAGATTCGCCTGGGATGATAATAACACTGTCTTTACATCATCTGGCCCGCGCAAGTCATTGGATTGATCGACGGCGAAGACCTTATCCTTTTTATTTATCCATAGGAGTATAAGAATTTCTGTGATGGTCCGGTAGGTAGGCCTCTCCCCCCTCACATCTCCAAGCCAGACTAGGTCGCGTCAGAAATGGCAGCAAGAGTCACTAGACGTGGCCTGTAGTGCGCCGTAGGCTGTGACTTCAGTAACGGCCGGCCCTTGTCAGTTCAGGTCTGATAAACATTAGGAACACTCTAACTTCGGTTAAGCAGAGGAACCAGTTAACCCTATACTCTTTTTCGATCAAAGTCTTTCCTGAATAATGTGATTCGGAGATTTCAGCTCTCGTGGACTGAATCGCGCCGGCAACATCCTCATCCCGAACGACAACTATTGCGCGTTCGAGGATTGGCTGTCACCCATTCTTGATGATTGCTTGAAGGAGCAGGAAGAAGGTGGATACAGCTGGACTCCTTCAAAGCTCATAAAACGGTGAGCTCTTGATTCTTATACCGTACGGGTTTCTCTTACTGTGCGTGCTACTCTTTGTTGTATTTCAGATTAGGAGAGAAAATCAACAACGAGGATTCCATACTTTACTGGGCAGCGCGAAATCACATTCCTATCTTCTGCCCAGCTTTGACAGACGGAAGCCTCGGGGATATGCTGTATTTTCACTCCGTCAAAAACTCGCCGGGACTTCGTTTAGACATTGTGGAGGCCAGTGACATTGTTCATTGTGGTTTTGTTTTGGTTTCAACGAGCGTGCACAGTAATCTGATAAGTGGACCTTTTTTCTTGCACGAGCGACACAGGGTAAATGGCAAAACAATGCTAGAACTTGTGACGTAGCGGGCACCAGTCCGGGGCGCGAAGTTCCGTAGACCCTTACTATGCGCAAGGTTATTGGGTCCGCAACTGCAGTAGTGTGTCACTTTCTCCGCTCAACGATGCACGGCAATGGGGCTAGGTGGAAGTGATGCCGAGGTGCCGTCTCCCGACCCCGCCCGCGTTGCTGCACGGCTACGCCTAACCGAGGCCAAACGCGCTCTTTGTTCGCGTCCTCTCACTTTTTGTTGTTCTGTCCCTCTGAGTGCGTGTTTCGCTACAGGATCTCACTGCAGGTATCTACAAGGGAGTACTGCGCATCGAGGATAGCTCGGGCTGAGTATGGAGAGGGCGGGTATGGCAACCCTCCAACCTGTTCTCGTGCACTTTTTAGCGGAGCTGCTGCAGTTGCGGACCCATTCATCTCGCACATGGAAAGGACCGTCCTCGGGGGTGAGTGCTAAAGTGTCGCGGAAATCTTATGGGAACGGAGTGCCTGGTGCCTTCCAGAGGGATCGTAGCGTCGTTTCCACGTATTCACTTACTTGAACTCGGTAATGGGGCTATTCAAGTGTGGAAAGGAATAATCGAGCTTCTATAGCTGCTCACCATCAGTAGATGAAGCTCCTCTGCTATCACTATCCCAGATATTTCGAAACCCATTAGATTTGATACTTTATAA